TTCCTCAATTGGCTGCAGGAGCTTCTTCTGCGTCTCCCACGCGGGTGCAGGGGCCCAAGGAGTTGGGTCCTCTTCTACTGCTTTCCCAGGCCATAGCAGAGAGCTGGATCAGAAGTGGATTAGCCGGGACTAGAACTGGCACCCCTATGGGATGCCGGTGCTTCAGACCAGGGCGTTAACCCACTGTGCCACAGCACCAGCCCCACCACATTTATATTTTAAAATAATTTAGTGGGGCTGGCGCTCTGGGGTACTGGGTGAGGCCACCGCCTGTAATGCCAGCATCCCATATGAGTGCCAGTTCGAGACCCAGCTATCCACTTCTGATCCAGCTCTTTTATGGCCTGGCAAAGCAGTAGAAGATGGCTCAAGTCCTTGGGCCTGGGAACCTGCATGGGAGACCTGGGAGAATGGCTCCTGGGTTCAGATCAGCACAGCTCTGGTTGTTGGCAGCCAATTGGAGAGTGAACCAGTAGATGGAAGACCTCTCTTTCTCTCTCTGCCTCTCCTTTTCTCTCTGTATAACTCTGATTTTCATATAAACAAATAAATCTTTTTAAAAAGTAAAATGATTTAGCAGACATTGGCTCAAGTGCTTGTGTGGAATTCCTGGCTCTTGGCCTTTGCAGCCATTTGGGAACTGAAACATCAGATTTCTCTCTCTCTGTCTCTCTCTCTCTCTCTCTCTCTCTCTTCCCCTAACCACCCCATCCCCCAACATATCCAACCTCCTGTCACTCTGCCTTTTGAATAAATACATTTTTAAGTTCATTTTATGTAACTTAATATAATGAAATATTTCACCTGTGTCAGTAGCCATAATTCAAATGGCTATCATAGTGAACAGGGCATCTTTTTAAAAAATGAAAAGGATTTAAAGAGAAAACTTCTGTGAAGATAAAACACAAGTATTTTTAAGAATTCCTTAGTAATTTCCTTCCTTTTCAATGTGTTTCAACCAAAATGTACACCATTTCCATTTTGGAGTTTTTATTGCTATGTAGCATAGTTTTTACTTACAATTTGAGAATCAGTAACGAGCTCTAAGCATCTTGATGGTGTTGGACTGCTGCAGGTCTGACCTTTCCAAGTCAGACACATAACAATGGACACAGAAAGCCAGATGCCACTGCCATAGGCAACCTGGTGCAATGGCACCTGGGTTCTTTGCTCCCTGCTGTGGCGTAGGTTGCCTGTTTACCAGACAACCTGGTGCCCTCCACCTCAGATGCTTGGTTAGAGAATTGCAATTGTTTTGCTTATACCTTGCTTCCTTCCCAAAGGTTTAATGAGTTTCGAACTATTTGCTGAGTTTCAGTGCTATTGTATCCATTTATGTATGACATTAATGATTGAATAATTGGAACTCAATCAAAATGAAAAACAAGACAGTCAAGGCTCTTGCACTATTATGAGAAAAGCCCCCTGATCCCTGCTTTGCTTTGCTTTACTTTGTGTTCCTTGTAGTTCTTTCAGCGTCGGTTGCTCTGCCCTTCGGCTTCCTCATAGTCAATGGCTGGTCCACGACATTTCTAAGTAACTAAAATCTAGAAAAGCATATGAGAAAGAATCCAGGACTTGGCAATGAAGGGAAAATGAGCATAATGATAACTATCAAGACTGGTGAAAGGACAAAATGAAATTTTATGTGTGTGTGTTTAAAAAATTGAGCACTGCCTGAATACAGCTTTATTAATAGCATTGCTTACTAATTTTATTAGAATATCAGTCCTTTTAAAAGCTTTTTTATTTATTTGGAAAGCAGAATGACAGAGACAGAGAGGAGAGACACACAGAGAAAGAGAGAGAGAGAGAGAATAAGACAGAGATTTTCCATACACTGATTTACTCCCCAGAATGGCTGCATCAGCCAGGTCTGGGCCAGGCTGAAGCCTAGAGCCAGGAATCTATCATGGTCTCCTACATGGGTAGCAGGCTGCCAAATAGTTGCTCCATTTCTATTGCATTTCCAGGAAGTGCACTAGCAGGAAGCTGGATTGAAAGCAGAATAGCCAGGATTCAAACCAGCACTCTGAAATGATATGCTGGCATTGCAAGGGGTGGCTTAAAATGTTGTGCCACAATGCCAGTCCTAAATATCAGTCTTTGGTTGTATAAATACTTCAGAGGTGTAGGTAATTTTTCCCTCTAAAAACTATGGATATAGGCAAGGAGACAGCAAGGAGGAGCTGAGTTGCAGCACCTTCCTGCAGCCCTGCCAGTATTGCAGCCCCACCAGGACCCCACACACAGCCCCTCACACCGCTTCTGTGCACTGGAAAACTATAGCTGCCAGTGTTACAACACCTAGGACTGGCACGGGCTTGAAGTGTCCAATATGGCTCTACCAGCAATGACATTGAGCTCATTATAATGTCATCATACTAAAATTATCATGGCCAACCTTCCTACTCCCATCATGCACCTGATGCCATGACACTTCCGAGATTTCAAAACAAGGAGCAAGGAAATGGGTCATACCCAGGCCCTTTCCCAAACTCCACCCTCTGAATTTTCAGTTGAGCTCCAGCCCACTCACCACTCCTCATGCCTCCAAATCATATAAAGGGATGGCCCTGAACCTTGTTGAACATAGATCTTTCTTGAGTGTGGGCTTTCACTTCGCATGTAAATAAATCCTGTCTCTCTGCCACCCACAACACTACTATGCTCTTTAATTTGCAGCCATTTATATCAGGAAACTCAAACATGAACACATTGAAATTCCCAGGAGTAATCACTTCAATAAAACTTGTGACATTCTCTCCGGACTCAAGAAATTTTGAAAATCTGAAGAGTTTTTAAAATGTAACTATGAATGAATGCAGACAAAGAAACACTGATGGCTATTCAAGTCTTTTGTAATTAGAAATGTAATTTAAGGACATTGTACTCTGAAACATACAAATATAATTAATAAATATTTTTTTCTCAGTAATGACACAGATTTCTGAAGTTTTCCATGATTCCTTTTAGCAGAGGGAAAGTAGCCCCATCTTTGCCTGTGTTGAGGAGCTGCCAGCAATCTGCAGCTTTTCACAGTATAGTAACCTCTGGTCGCTGCCTCAGCCCTACGATAAATACTGTAGACTGTGTGCGTGCACTTACAGAACTTCACAGGTTTCCATGGATACGTGAATTTCAGAGCTAAAGCACATTTACTATCGCTTTTCTTGTCACCAAGAGTCCTGTAAACACTTGAGCTTGAAGATTTTGTGCAGAAATTTAGCATTTTATACAGAACAAGTCAGAATTATATTTTTCCGAATGCATTGTATGATTTTCCCTTTGGGCAAAGTCCCTGAAATATTTTATATCTGTGGCCTCTTCTTAGGGATGTGCTTTTATTTATTAGACTCATAAAAGACAATCAAGGCTAAACTACACTGTCAGTATCACTTTTAAATGATAGATAGTTAGACTATGTAAATGTTACAATTAATAAATAAGGTGACTTGCTTGGAATTTAAAATGCAGAGAAGCAAACAGGGACAGCAGAAATAGGAATAGTAGGTTTCCATTCAGATCTTTTTCTTCCTAAATATAGTGAAATTTAAATGTCATTTCCAAGAATGTCCTTGTGTTATGTCTACTGACCAATCATAGTTTGAATTTATTCTTTGTTACTCGTATTAAGCTTTTGATTTTTCATTGTGTCTCTGAATGGTGCCATTAAAATCATTTTTTTTCCTCCATCCAGCCCCTTAGATTGCCCCAAAGACTTGGCTCAGCCTAATTTATTTTGTGTTTGACAGATCATAATTGTCCATAGTTACGGGGCACAGTAGGATGTTTTCCTACATATATATATTCTGTAATAATCAAAACAAGATATTTAGCATATTTATCATCTTGCCTATTTATTATTTCTTTGTGGTGGAAACACTCAAAATCCTTTCTTCTGGCTACTTTGAAATACTCAATGCAATATTGCCAACCTACATTTCCTTTTTTCATCTGAAAGTAAGGCTCTGCTTTTGCTGTTTAAATCCTAGAAGAGGGAGTCTGGGTAGAGGAAAGAGCTCCCGACCAACAGGTCCGCCCTCGCTTCTTGCCCACGGGATGCAGAGCACCAGGCTCTCCTCTTCAGGCCTCACAGCAGCTCCCAGGACCTCCCAGCGGCTCACAGGTGTACTGCAAGGATTTAACCACAGCAAGGCATGAAAGTGCTCTGCTAATTATAAAACAGCCACAACAGTACTGTCTCTGCCTCTTGTCTACTAACATTCAGTGCCAATCAGGTTTGTCTGCATTTGTTAAAGAGACGAATAATGGCTTTCAGCCCCTAACAAGGTTGACAGTGGAGCCTGGCCTTCATTCTCTTGCCCATTTAACAACGAACATGACTAAACTCTGTCCCTGACAGTGATTTCAATATGCTTCAGCCCTCACAGCCCAGCGAGGCAGCCCCTGAGAGTGTGTCTCAATGGTGCCGCACGGTGCCGCACTTAACATGATCTCCAAAAGAACGGTTATTTGTGTGTCATCTGACATCCGCTCCCATCATGTACCCTCATGATCCTTGGGATTCAAAATTACTGATTCCTCACTCTGTCTCAAGGGCAACATTCATTCTCTGCTGGTCCCCCTGAGAATCCCATCCACCTCAGGATCCACTCTCTCTCTCTCTCCAATCTACAGAAATGAATGGCGGACTCGGGCTGCCCCAACGACAAAGCACTCTGTGTTTCTCCACTAAATTTCATTCCAGCATCCTGCTGAATTTACTCTGAACTGAATTTGCTCTGAACCACCTGGCAGGGATCTAGAAGTAAAATTACAAGATTTATTTCATTTTAATTCTATTACGAAGCATTTAATCATAAATACCCCCCCAATGAAAAGATCATTTATCATCCTGCCCTGACTGAACGACTCCTCAGTTCACATCCATGAATCCATAATGCAGGGATGATTAAGTGTCCGATTAGAAAAAACAGATTAACCTGGCAAACATAATAAATTCAGCTCATCAGCGGGATGACTTTATAAATGCTCACAGTAAGTCTGCTGTAGAAGACCATGAACAACTTCCTCCAGTGACGACTCCATTGAAGCAGCCAAGGAACACACAGCAAAGGCACGTTTAGAGTGTTCTCTAAACATGAAAAGAGTAGAGGGGCAGTAGGTTAATCCTCTGCCTGCGGCTCTGGCCAGCATCCCATCTGGGCGCCGGTTCTAGTCCCAGCTGCTCCTCTTCCAATCCAGCTTTCTGCTGAGGCCTAGGAAAGCAGCAGAGGATGGCCCAAGCCCCTGGGCCCCTGCACCCACAAGGGAGACCCGGAAGAAGCTCCTGACTCCTGGCTTCGGATCAGTGCAGCTCCAGCCGTTGCAGCCATTTGGGGAGTGAAGCAATGGAAGGAAGACCTTTCTCTCTGTCTCTCTCTCTCACTGTAACTCTACCTCTTAAGTAAATAAAATCAAGAAAGACAGCAAACAAGCAAGCAAGCAAGCAGAAAAAGCATGTGCTAGGGCCAGTATTGTGGCACAGAGGGTTAACCCACTGCCTGTGACGCCAGCACTCCCACATGAACCCTGGTTCCAGTCCTGCCTGCTCCAGCTCCCTGATAATGCACCTGAGAAAGCAGCACAAGATGACCCAGGTTCTTGGGTCCCTGCTACTCATATAGGAGATCCACATGAAGGTCCTGGCTCCTTACAGCCACCTGGGGAGTGAACTAGAGGATGAATGGAAGGTATCTCTCCACCTCTCCCTGTTTTTCCTCTCTCTGTAACTCCGCCTTTCAAATAAAGAGATAAATCTCAAAAGAAGGCAGAACAGCACTCTGAAGACGCTTTAAGTATTTAAGCATTCACTCGTTAGAAACAAAGCTGCAAGCTCTCAGATATTCTGATTTCCACTTTGCCAGGGGTTGTATCTATACCCCATATGCTTTCAGTGTCTTTGTACACCCTGTGTGTTTCCAAAGGTGCAAGGCGAGACCCAGTGCTTCAGAGCCTACAGATTCACCCTTAACCTTCACAATCCTACTTGATCCCTTTATAAAACCAGCTGCATATTTTCTTAAGTTTTCTTTTCTTAAATTCCACTGTGATAAAAACAAGTAAAATTAACGAGTGGTTTTCACCTTCAAACCAGTAGGAACAAATTCTTTTTGCTGAGCTTCTGTTTTCATCAGAGACAAAATCTAGGGGCTGACTACTTTGAAGGACAGTTCTATGCAGTGCTCCAAAAAGTTCAGGCCACAGTCTGCCAGGCCTTCCTTACTTAGCTGGGTAGTATTCCGGGCCTCTCTTTTTTAGCAGTGAGAAAAAGGATACTGTCCCTGCCCAGCTTATTTTTAAACTCCCATGGCTGTGTTCCTGGAGGCCTGAAAGAGACAGCCAGGCTATGATCTGTCACATGTACCCAAGTCCCGCTGAGTAAGGGACCTGCTCTGCTTGTCTGCCTGAAACCAGAACCGTTCCCAGGAGCAGGGCAGGGCAGGGCAGGGCAGGCGGGGAGGGCGATGGGCTGCCACAGTTGCGTCTTTCATGACTGCCCCATCCCATCCTGAGGCAGGTAAATTCCTCGCCAGCCTTGATGCTGGGAGGGCGCTTTCCGTTTGTGTGTTCTGTCTCCCTTCTCCTGGCTCTCAACTTGATCTTGAGCTGGGGGTGGTGGTGACAGGGAGGGGTCCACAGTCACTGTGTGTCTTCGCTGTCGGGGCGCTGGATCAGGCAGGCTCAGGAGCTCATAGAACAGCAGGGAGGTTTTAAAGCCACTCTGCTTAGGGCACTGGATCCCTTGGGGACTAAAGGCATTGGTGTAGGGCTGGAAGGTGCATGTTTCCAGCGCATGGGGACTGTGCATGCCTGATGAGTGGCGTTCCAAATTTCTGGGCCCAGCAAGATCGGTCATCTTAGTAACGGCAGCCCCAGGTACCATAGGAGCTGGCTGCAGGCACGCCCCAGCGCCTGGGAGGGGGGTGGAAATTTACCCTGGGGTTGCGCTCACTTTGACCGTTGGGTCAGTGCGCAGCTTCTTCCGTGGGCGTGCAGAGGGCTCGCGCAGCGCGATGCTCGCGGGTGTGCTGAGGCGAAGCTCGAGGTGAACGCCCTGGGCAGGCAGGCGAGCCAGAAGCCTGGGGCGTGCGCCGCAGCGTCCTGGCTCCTGGCCCGGCGCGTTGCCGCCGCGGCGCGCGACAGGGCTGGCGTTGGCTCTGCAGGAGGGCCCTGAACTGGGGTCAGCTCCTACTCCGGGCTGCGGATGGAGGAATCCCGCGGCCGCTAGCAGGAGGCTCCCCAGCTGCGAGGCCGGGGAGCCCCTAGAGGGATGCCCTGGCTGAGGAGTGAGGTGTGTGGGGCACTGGGAGGGAGGCCGGGCCGCTGTGTCTCAACTCGGTGCCCAAGGACAGAAGCTGGGAGGGTCAGAGGTCCTGAACGGATCTGCGCTCCTGTTGGGGCCTCAGTCAGCAGGGGGAGGAGAGTGACTGCCCCAAGGCACACAGCTGGGAAGTGGCGGAACTGGGACCCGGGACAACTGCTCCCAACGCAGCGACCATGAATAATAATACAAGCAATTATGATTAGATTAGCCTTTAGAACTAGGAATGATGATATTACTTTGGCATTCAGGACTTTAATATGACTCCTGGGCTGGAGAAACACAGCCACTTGTATCCTCAATAGGCTTAAGTTACTCATTTTTCATACATTATTAACTATTTGCTCAGTTACTTGTGCCAGGCACTCTACTGGAAACTCAAGTCCTGGAGGGAAACACGAACCAGCCATCCTCACCAGGCGGAACACCAGTCACTGGGGCCGGTGGAGACAGTGGGACGCACTGTGGCGTGGAACGTGCTCCGGATATGCTGGGGACCTGGGGGAGGAGGGGCACCTGACCTGGATCTACGCGTGGGTCGTTTTGGGGCTCTTGGAAATGAATTTCAGGTGGAATATCCAGTGTTAGAAAGAGAGCTCCAGGTGAGTGTGAAAAACAGTGAATAGTTTGGTGTCCCTGGACAGTAAGGGTGAATAAGAAGGCCAGGTCTATGGAGGGGGCGAGGTGCGGACACTTACCAGGATTCCAAGCCCAGCTAGACAGTGCTGTGGCTGATGGCGGTTGTTTTGATGGAAAAGGAAACCCTTAGATGGAGAATGAGAATGAGGGACCAAGGATCTGTGCAGCCCCGTAGGTCTGTGAATTAGCCAAGCTCTGGTGTTTTCTGGAAGCATCCCACTGCAGCAGAATTCTCCGTGGAAAGTGCAGCTGGAATGGGAAGAGTCCCATTCAAACTGGGAGACTTGCACCAGGGGTAGCCTGGGTGACCTGGGACCCTGTTTCCAGTGGCATTCTGGGGAGTAGTTGGTAAAAGCCTGCTGTTAGTATTTCTGGAGCACAGATGGCCTCTAGGACCTGAGCAGCAGTAAATCAACCTGTCCCTCTCTATTTATTTCTTCTGATGCACCCCTAGGGACTGATGTGGAACTATAAACACAGTATACCAAGATTACAGGCTTACCTTCCTCCCATTCTTTACTATAAACTATTCATACAAATCTATGCAAATAACCTGTTACCATTTTCCCTTAAACACAACACATACAGGTTGTGATAGAGGACTTTATAAGTGCACTTTAATTGTTCTGTCATTTTTGGTAAATATAGTTCAAGTAAAACAAATCACATATGCAGATAGAATACAGTCATCAGCCTAGGGTATGAGTTTAGGCACCTTGCTTCTGTTTCTAACCCTACCTAACACGTCCTGGCAAGAGAGGGGTGGGACTTCCCCAGCAAGACTCCACTTCCCATGACTGTCTGGTTCTGCATATGCAGGTTGGAAGCTTCCTGTGTTGTTTGAAATATATGTCTGCCTGGTTTTGCAACTTCTCTTGTCTCATGGGTCTTTGAGAAGAAGGAAAGGAGGAAATATCTTGTAGCAATTCCTTTGGTGAGTGATGTTAAGCAGTGTTATAAAGAAGGAACAGGAAGTCAGAGTAAAAACATAAACATGAAATGGAATTCTAGTTTTCTCAGCACCTTTGTGACTTAGGTCTGACCCTTAACTCATCTGTGGGTTTCCTCAGCTGTGACCCTAGTTCCCAGTGTTGACCAGTCTGAAGATATCCCTTCACCCCCAGAGCCCCTCCTGTGGCCCTTTGATGGTCACACCCACTCCCTCACAGCTAGTTGCTTCACCTCAGGCAACCACTGTTCCTAGATTTATAATTTGGTTATTTCAAGAGTGTTTTACAAATGGTATTTCTTTTCTTTCTTCATTCAGCCCAATGCCATGAAGATTCATTCTGGCTTTCGTATGGTTCAACAGCCTGTTCCTGTTTGTTCTTTAGTAATACTGTGTGATAGGCCTGCAACATCATGTACCCATGGAAGGTCATCCAGGTTTATTCCATTATGGACAATTATGAATAAAGCTGCTGTAAACATTTCTGTGAGGTGTTTTTGGGTGGACATAGCCTTTGTTTTTGTCATTCTCTGTGATCTATGCTTAGGAGTGCAATTACTGGATTGTATAGTGGTTACAGGATATATTTTTTAAGAAATTGCCAAACTGCTCTGAGAGTGTACCACAGTACAGTCCCACCACTAGTGAATGACTGATTCAGTTCCTGCATATGGTTGTCAGCATTTGGCGTTGTTGCTGTTTTTTTCTTTTAGGTGTTCTGATAGGTGTGTTGTGATGTTTCCTTATTGTCATTTGCATTTCCCTAGTGGCTAATGATGTTGACCATGGCTTCCTTGACATCTGTGTATCTTTGGTAAAATGTATCTTTGTATTCTTTGTCCATGTTCCATTTGTGCTCTTTGGGTTTTGTTTCTTTTTTGTTTTTAGTGTTGCATTTAGAGAATTCTTTATAGGTTAAAATGTTCTCTCTCAGCCGGCGCCGCGGCTCACTAGGCTAATCCTCCGCCTAGCGGCGCCGGCACACCGGGTTCTAGTCCCGGTCGGGGCGCCGGATTCTGTCCCGGTTGCCCCTCTTCCAGGCCAGCCCTCTGCTGTGGCCAGGGAGTGCAGTGGAGGATGGCCCAGGTGCTTGGGCCCTGCACCCCATGGGAGACCAGGAAAAGCACCTGGCTCCTGGCTCCTGCCATCGGATCAGCGCGGTGCACCGGCCGCAGCGCGCCAGCCGCGGCGGCCATTGGAGGGTGAACCAACGGCAAAGGAAGACCTTTCTCTCTGTCTCTCTCTCTCTCACTGTCCACTCTGCCTGTCAAAAAAATAAAAAATAAAAAAAAAAAAATAAAAAAATGTTCTCTCTCAGCTCTGCAGCTTGTATGTATTCTCTTCTACTATGGAACTTGTCTTTTCATCTGCTTAACAGGACCATCAGCAGTACAAAAGTGTTTAATTGTCTTAATTTTATTTGAATTACACAAGTTCCATGTATTTCATATATACATATTTAGGAACAAAGTGACACTTCCCCCCCACCCTCCCTCCTGCTCAAGCTGCAACCCTTCTTCCTCCTCCTTCTCACATTCCCACTCTTAATTTTTACAAAGATCTGTTTTCAGTTTACCTAGTGATAGTATATCTAGCCCTACACTAAGTAAAATAGTTCAATAAATAGTATGAAGAGGAAAAAAAAAACAGAAAACAAAAAACAAAACAAAAAAATGCTGTTTCTCAACAGAACAGACAGGGCTATAAACAATCATTGAATCTCAAAATGTCTATTTCACTCTAATACATTACATTTCAAGCTACTCTATAGTTACCTTGCATTAGAGAAAATGAATGATAGATGTCTTTTTTGGGACTGGCTTATTTAACTAAGTATAATGATTTCCAGTTGTGTTTATCTTGTTGCAAAAGACAGGATTGCATTTTTTTTACAGCTGAGTAGTACTCCATAGTGTTTATATACCATAACTTCTTTATCCAGTCAACAGATGATGGACATCTGGATTGATTCCATATCTTAACTATTGTGAATTGTGCTGCAATGAACATGGGGATACAGATAACATTTCCATATATTGATTTCTTTTAATTTGGGTACATTCTCAAGAGTGAGATGGCTGGATTATATGGTAGATCTATATTCATATTTCTCAGGCATCCCCATACTGTCTTCACAGTGGCCGCACAAGTTTACATTCCCATCAACAGTGGATTAGGGTACCTTTTCCCCCACATCCTTGCCAGCAATTGCTGTTTGTTTATTTCTGTATGAGAGGCATTCTAACTGGAGTGAGGTGAAACCCCACTGTGGTTTTGATTTGCATTTCCCTGATGGCTAGTGATCCTGAGTATCTTCTCAAGTGTCTGTTGGCCATAAGAATTTCCTCTCTTGAAAAATGTCTGTTAAAGTCCTTTGCTCATTTTTTAGCTGGATTGTTTGTTTTGTTGTTGTTGAATTTCCTGAGCTCTTTGTAGATTCTGGATGTTAAGCCTTTATCAGTTGTGTAGTTTGCAAATATTTTCTCCCATTCTGTCAATTGCCTCTTAACTTTGCTGAGTGTTTCATTTGCAGTACAGAAGCTTTTCAGCTTGATGTAATCCCATTTGTGAATTTTGGCTTGGATTGCCTGTGCTTCTGGGGTCTTTTATAAGAAGTCTTTGCCTATGCCAATGTCTTGCTGAGATTCTCCAATGTTCTCTAGTAATTTTGTGGTATCAGGTCATAGGTTTAGATCTTTGGTCCATTTTGAGTGGATTTTTGTGTAAGGTATACGGTAGGGGTCTTGTTTCATACTTCTGTATGTGGAGAACCAGTTTCCCCAGCACCATTTTTTAAAAGATTTGTTTATTTATTTGACAGGCAGAGTTACACAGAGAGAGGAAAAGTAGAGAGAGAGAAAGGTCTTCCATTAGATGACTCACTCCCCAATTGGCTGCAGTGGCCGTAGCTATGCTGATTTGAAGCCAGAATCCAGGAGCTTCTTCCAGGTTTCCCAAGGACTTGGGTCATCTTCCACCACTTTCCCAGGCCACAGCAGAAAGCTGGATGGGAAGTGGAGCAGCCAGGACTCGAACCAGCGCCCATATGGGATGCCTGTGCTTCAGGCCAAGGCAGTAACCCACCGCACCACAGCGCTGGCCCCTATTTTTTTTTTAATATTTATTTATTTATTTGAAAGAGTTAAAGAGAGAGAGAGAAAAGTGGTGG